TTTTTTTCCCAAGCTAGAAATACACCATGCTAACCTGTTAAAAAACACTTCTTTTAGTAAAAAAATATACAAATTTTTAAAAACCTACAAAAAATTGTTTGTGAAATTAGAAAAAATATCAACCCTAGGTAAAAAGCAGACAATTGCAGGGATTGGTGCTTGTGATTAAGCTTCAATTATGGAGGTTCAAATTTCAATGTTCCAGTGTGGTAGAGAATTAATTATAAATACTATGAGCATAAATTGAATAGTGCCAGAAAAGTGTGTTGCTTTTGAAATAAGTGTGGAAAAAACTTCCATAGTACTTGTGAAATTACAATAAATGGGAGATATCCAGTCTAGTGCGAAAATTATGCAGTTTTTCCTATGTAGATCAATTGGCATGTATTCATCTTGCTTGGATTAATCAAAAACAGTATCTATTAAACTTAATTCTTGCCAGTCTTTCTATTTAATATAGTGGACACCCAACAACATCCTGATTGGTCACTATTTCTTTGCTAATTTCTTCTGATCGGCAGTATAATAATTATTTACTATGTCCTTGATGTCTTCTTTCAATTTTCAAGTTGTAATAACTACATATTAGTATTAAAACATCATAAAATAGTTTGAATGTACCATTTTGCATTTGTCCAAAATAACAATTTATAAGAAATGCGACATTGTTACCCCAATTTTGAAGAAGAGATATAGTGGAAATCAAAAAAAAAAATTACTGGCTAATTGGCTTTACAAGTGTAATAGGAAAGGTCATGGAAAGGCTTATAGCTCGGAGAATAGAGGAATAATATCATTTACAAAGAGAAATAATATCATCCCTGAGCCACAGCATGGATTCATCCAAGGTAGATCCACTGTATTAAACTTTTGTGCTCTATCAACATCTGTAGAAGAGCTTTGGATAACAGGAAACCAATAATATACCTTGATTTTGCAAAAGCTTTTAATAGATTACACATCAGTCTGTCTTGTCGTGTCAGGTCTGTCTTGTCGTGGCGGTCGTTGGGTGCAGACGTTCCTTTCGAGAGCTCCGGAGGATTAGAATGGGTT